GGAATTTGTAAATGCTATGATTAAGACATGTATTATACCACACGCTCATACGAAACGTAAGCTTTTCCAGTCAAACGCGCGGGAAGCAAGCGGTCTTGTGCAATACCTCCTATGCAATTTTCCATCAGGCACTCGCAGTGCGTGTAAATAAACATCTTTTTATATTCTCGGACAGTAAATACCATAAGCTTTATGGTTTTCCTGTTAAGTTTCTCTGTTCTGCAGTTTTTTTGCCATGTAACAAACACATTATCAAACTGTGTGTAGGAGGGGGGGGGGCAGAGACAATACACCACCATATACTCCTACGAATGAATATTTCTGCAGATCAAATTCGAGTCTCTTCAGGTACCACAGGAAACTGATGCAAGTCCTGCTTCCATCCTTGATTTCCACATCCAAACAAACGGTCTTGGGGGAATTACCAGCCGAATATCAGTGATGGACATAGTCTCCACTGTTCCCATGATTACATACTGTTTTCGAAGTTCCAATTTCGGACACTGGCAAACATCATTTACCACGAAAATGTTCTCCCGTACTTGGAGGTCCACAATGCTTTTGAACACTTTAATGATCCTCACCAGGTATTTTCTTTCTCGATGATTATCATTGAACGATGCTCGCAATATTCTTGCTCGTACAACTGGAGAGTAAAATAAAGATACATGTATGGTTAAAAGAGATGCTAGGATGTGACGTTTTGAGGAAACAGCTTGAAAAATGAGTTTCTGTGGTTCTTTGAAAAGGCAACATGGTACGAGTTTCAGTTGTTGTTAAGCCTGGCCTTTAATCTAAAGAAGAGCCTGTACAATGCTCGAATAACTATACTTCTTGTTTTTCTTAACATGGTTATGCATTTGCTTGGGATCCATTCGAAAGAAAATATAAAGCAATTTTCACTTGCTCAAGTTAAGGTAGGCTTATTTACCAAAATCACTTTCGCAGTAGCTCTTGTTTCGTTTCTTTGTTATTCGGCAGGGTCGGCGGCACTTTACTGTAGGAAAAGAGAAGAATGTATGTAAGTAAAGCACAGGAATCGTCAATTACAGGTAAAATAGCAAATGAACTAAGTAACAGCGCTAGCAAAGTACTCTGCGGTGAAGTATCTAGAGAAAGACTAGGGCTTAAAAACCATTAACAGCCAGATCTGAAATCTAATGCCCTTGCCACTTGACTACTTTGCATCAACCATGGACATGCATGGAGGGGGAGAGAAACAAATTTGCTGCCTTTGCGTGTTCTGTTCAAAGAGATATGGTCATATCGGAAAATATAATAAATAGTACTAAAATGCCATCTGAAAGATCGCAACTGATGTAGAGCCCTTCCGTAACTTCTGTAGCACATGAAAGTGATACCTCTTTGTTTTCGCAATGTCGTTTATAATTCTCTTTCCGTGAGCCTTGGGGGCTTGGAAACATGTCATTTTAGATTTACATAAAGCCTTTATACAGCTATGTTTGACTTTCAGAAATGTCAGAAAGCTCGTTTGTATTTGAAGAACTTTTTGTTAACACAATGTTGGCTTTTGTTCTAGCGCGGTTACCACAGAGTAAATTAAGATTCTCCAGAGTGATGAACTTACACCTTCTCCCTATAACATCAAGACATTGTCGAGTATACAGGTGTTGAGAATAAAGAACATCATAAGCTAGGAAAAGTCTTGATGAACCGCCAAATTCTCAGAACTAACACGAAGTGAAATATATATCAATAAGTTGTGAGAATTATAATGTAGCTTAGCACTCGGCTCTTACGTTTACCTGGTGGTGTTGATGCTGGTTGTGTGGTGGTGGGAAATTGACTTGAAATCTTCTCTGTTGATGTTCGTGGTCCCGTTGTTGATGGAACAGCGGCTACATTAGTCGGATCCACCAAGCGAAAGGAAAGAAAAAAAAAATAAAGATAAATGAGCGATGATTTATCTGGCTACACATGAATTCTTTAAACAAACTTAAAACAACCACTCTTTGCACGAGGGATTGAGTAATTGTTATAAGAATTTTCATTGTAAAGAAGAAATCTGAGGTTGATTACAATTTTAGGTTTGGTTTATTTTTCGTTATTATACGCTGAGATATTTCAAACTAAAAGAAAATACTGCTCAATAAAATTTGCCGGGTTTTGTTATTTGAATTCTACCCTGTAAAACATCAATCGGATTTCTGTCAAAAACAAATCTTAAAACGATGGCAACTGAACAGTTTAGACCAAGGGACCTTGCAAGGATATCAGATATAATCAGATTAAACACGAAAGATTCTGAAACTAGATCAAAGGAAACATATGAAATGTATAATATACCCGTTGTTAACCCGGTGGTCTGTCTTGCAAGCGAGGAAGATTGTGTTGTCTTCAAGGGACATCTTTTCATTAAGGCTGGCAGTCGACGAATCATTGATGCTTTCCATACTTCGACGTAACTTTGTCGATTTATCTCTGCTATCGGCTCAGATGAGCCCGCGCGCGTTCCCAGCCGACCCATCAAGAGGTACTGTTTCCCAGGGAGAAGTAGAGGACAGTGACATTGATTTCCTAGAATCCAGACACTTCTTACTGTTGTTACTCCACTTGTCAACTTGAAGGTGTGAATTAAGCGGACGCGATAGTTTGCGTCGTGATTAAATTCGTTCATAGCCTCCGACAAGATCTCGACATGAATCACTGCAATAGAATGAGAGAAAACAACAACAACAACAACAAAATGCATTAGAAGTGGATCTACATTATTTTTTTTTCTTAAAGAATCCTATTTCGTCCTCAGGCGTCCCTCGGTTGTGCGCGGTGCGCGTAGAGTTATGGGCCAGTCGTTCTTAAAAAAAAAAAAAAACTGTTTCCCGCCTTTTATTGACGAAATTCAACAACGCGTCTAAAGAAGACGCCGATTATAATGACATATCTTTCCCCTTGTACTGAGATCCTTTAATTGCTGAGTTGCCACTAGAAATGGTTAAACTGAGATATAATAACACTGAATTGACTCACCAAAATTACTGGTGCAGTAAGCTCTGGTTCGTTTAATAGCAATCTCGCAAGGCCCACATTTTTCTGTGAAAATGAACAAGAATCATTTTTATGTTTGGGTTTAGACAAAATTTTCGATCATATAAAAGTACATTCTTAACACAAATTAGTAAATATTATATATCCATGGTAGGTAATAAACATTTATAGCCACAATTGGCTCCTTTATCGTCACAGTAACGTTTAGAGCACAGAATCAACAAGAAGCAGCGCACTACCAACTAGCGCGAGTAGGCATTTATAAATGAGGCAACGGATAAAATCCCGAAGGCTCTATGGAGAATGCGAAATTCACAATCTACTTGGCAATGCNTTTAGACAAAATTGTCGATCATATAAAAGTACATTCTTAACACAAATTAGTAAATATTATATATCCATGGTAGGTAATAAACATTCGTAGCCACAATTGGCTCCTTTATCGTCACAGTAACGGAGTTTAGAGCACAGAATCAACAAGAAGCAGCGCACTAACAACTAGCGCGAGTAGGCATTTATAAATGAGGCAACGGATAAAATCCCGAAGGCTCTATGGAGAATGCGAAATTCACAATCTACTTGGCAATGCGGAGACACCATCTAGCTAGCAACAAGTCGCATAATCGTTCGAACTCAATAAACGAGCGCAGTCACATATCGTTTAGACGACTTTTTATTTGCCCTGAACGGGACTTTGGGTTTTCTTAATGCTAACCCTTCAAACTTTCGCTCAAACGCGGGTAAGTTTGAAAGAACCACATTCTAGTTAGGCTAAAACAAATGGGCTTCTCGCTCTTGCATGGCTCTACAGATGCCTTTGCTGTCATAAACTGTAACCTCTAAAATTCTCAAGCTCTCAAACGTTTTGTGTTACCGGTAACTAGTTGGCAAGAGGGGAATC